GGCTGCCATCTTGTGTGTGGCCACGGCGGGCCTCCTGGGCTGAAGTGTGTGTGTGTATGTGTGTGTGTGTAGCGGCTAGTTAGTGCTAGGAGGCTCCGGACGCTGACGCGAGTGCCGCTGCCGGGACTGACGGGGAGACTTCCCGACCAGGGAGGGGGGTCCTCTCTCCCGGGTCTCCTCCCTGGGCCTGGGAGGCAGGCGTGGTGGTGGTGGTGGTGATGGTGCTGAGCCCAGGCTTTGTCGGAGGCCTTCATGTCTTAACTCTGATTCCTTGTTCTCCAAGAGTCGTGTCCGCAGTGTTTGTGGCGCGACGATCCCCACCACCGATCCCTCCCATGGCTCCGGGAGGCTGGCTGCAGGATTCGGGATGGAGAAGCCGGCCATGGCAGGGTGCGGGATAACGACTGACCTCCGGGTCGATAGAAAGAGAGAGCCTTGTTTTTTTTTTCTCTCCTGTCGGTTGCCAGGGACCGACTGCTGAACTATTGCCCTTCTCGAGAGAGTTCGTGGCAGTAGCCTTTAGACTATGGTCACATCCTTTGGCCTAAGTGGACATGAGGTTGCGTGAGAGTAGTTTTATTCCCGAGTGTGCGGCCCCCATTCCTTCAAGTGGCTTGAAAAACTAAACTAAAATGTGTTGGTCTGCAGAAACGGGAAGCGAGCGGAGACTGCCGCTAACTTTTTTGTTGTTGTGAGACAGAATCCTACCTACTCGAGATTCGATTCAAATTAGGTATGTAGCTCAGACTGACCGACCCTTCTGCCTCCACTGTGCCAGTTCTGCCTCTCCCGGAGCGCCTCACCACAGAACCTGTCAAGAGGGTTGAAAATTGATTGTAAATTTCTCTTCACATATTTTTTTTTATTTTATAAACTTTATCATAAAAAACTTGCAAAAGAATAAAAAAATATACACCAAAATTAACCAAACCCCACATCAGTACAAGTCAATGAACTTCAGTACAATTAAAACTGGCATTCAGAAAGGAAGCTGTGAAGTTTTGTATTGAGTTTACACATAATATGTTCTGTGCACTTAGCCACAACCAAAACAAACAAACAAAAATCCACTACATATTTGTAAATTTCTGGATCTGTCTAACTGTGGACGGTGGTCTCATCATGAAGCAGGACATTTTTGTTTGTTTGATTTTTGGTTTTTCGAGACAGGGTTTCTCTGTGTAGCTTTGGAGCCTATCCTGGCACTCTGGAGACCAGGCTGGCCTCGAACTCACAGAGATCCGCCCGGCTAGCAAGACATTTTTTAAGGAGAATAAATTTGCTGTAGGGCTGGGAAGAGCAAGACTCTGCACTCTCCTTTTCTCATTTGGCTGTTGCTCTTGAAAAGAATTAAGACTTCCCCTGCCCCCCTTATGAAGTAGAAAGCATTCCTTGTATATCATTCGAAAGAATCTGGCAGATCTGAAAATCTATCCAGTTAGAGACAAATATTTTGTGGTTAACGTTAGTAGTTTGAATACACAAAAGCTGAGACTTTCCTCAGTGCCTTCACTTTAGTTTTCAGTGGTTCAAAGTTAACGTGGTTCTGCCGAGTCAACAGTACAGGAAGGGGATATTTTGTGACATAAATAACCAAACAAAACCACGATCAACACAGAACCCCAAATTTCTTAACTTACTTTTTAAAGCCATGATCCATACTAAATTTTTCTTGAAAAATAAAAAAAGTTATGAGTTGATGATCAAATTAAACAATGTTACTGGTCCATAAATCCACTGCCTTTTCCTGTTAAAATAATTAGGTAAAGGACAAATATATATGTTGGCTGTGGGTAGAGGAAAAGTCTAAATTCCTCCTTGCTATGTCAGGCTAGAACATGTGAAAACTGAGCTATGAAACAGGTCTTTAAAATGTAAAAATTTCATTGATTCAATGACTGCCACAGAATGCAGTGGTCATTTTGATCTTTAGAGTTCTAAGTCTTTACTTTTCATTGCATTGTTCATCCCTATAATGGAGTCTATCGATTGAAACTAGAAAGTTGACAGCTAAATGTTCTAAATTAAAATGTCGTATAGGGACATTTCTGTAAATTCAATTGTTTGCAAAATAATAGCTTATCGAATCAGTTCAAATTAAGTTATTTCTAGCACTTGAATAATTTTGAAGGGTTGAGAGTATGGCTCATTGATAGTGTACTTAGCATGCAAGAGATCCTGGTTTCTATATCCAGCACCCAAATCAATAATAAAAGTCACTGGAATTGCTGTAAACCAGTGTACTAAAACATAGTGGGATATTTGTACTTGAGATTGTTTAGCTTAAAACCAAAAAAAAAAAAGTTTGAAAAGTGTTATATATTTGACCTATTGTCCTTCATTCTCTCACAGTACTTAGTATTGTTGGTTGTTTTTGCTCTTTTGGGCTCTTTGCTCTTTAGGTCTTTTTGGGGGACCCATCATCCAACTCCCAAGTAAATCATGTGGAAGTGTATTCTTAGTTTTGAATGTCCAGCCTTAGCTTGGATGGTTTCTAGCCAGCTTTTCTTATCCTAAATTATCCCACCTACCCTTTCCTTCAGGGCTTTTGTCTTTCTTACTTCTGTGTATCTTACTTTCCTTCTTTCTCTGTGGCTGGATGGCTGGTCCCAATGTCCTTCTCTCCTTGTTCTATTGCTCCTCTCTTTTCCTCATTTCTCCTTCTATTTATACTGTCTGCCTGCCAGTCCCACCTTTTTCTCTCTCCTGCCTCGCTATTGGCCATTCAGCTCTTTATTAGATCATCAGGTGTTTTAGACAAGCACAGTAACAGCTTCACAGAGTTAAAGAAATGAGCATAACAAAAGTCACATATCTCAAAATAATTTTCTACCACAACTTAGATCAACCTCAGGGCCTAGGCGAGCACTTGATCTCTCATCTACATCCTAGCTGTATTTGTCTTTTTGTTCCTCCAGATACTGGGGGTTACATGTAAGGCCCCCGGAAGTCTTTGTCCTTGTTGCTTTGCTTATTTATCTTAAAGGATAGTGGAATCCTTCCTGGTCAACCTTTAACTTCTGCATTCGCAGTTTCATTTGTTACTGTTGCTTAAACTAACATTTTAATGCAAGTGAGACCTATATATCAAATTTTTGCTTGAGCACTAAAAACAGATATCTGATGGTCTTAGCAGATCTTAATATGTACATAGTTCTTCCCTCATGTTTCCTATATTATCTTGATCATTGATGTGGGCATCTTCGGTTTGGCTCAGATTTAAAATCAAATTCTTCCTTTTGTCCCACTTAATAACCTGTATATGGCTGCAATTCCTGTAACGGCTTTCCTTTTCTTTCTGCTCTCTCTCCTTCACTCCAGGTACAACATTTTATCGTTGGGGATTGGAGTGCAGGCCTCAGTTCCTAGGGAGACTGGGGTAGGAACATCCCTGTGTTGAGGCTTGTCTGTAATGATAACTCTTTCTGCCAGCTGCCTGAATTCCACCGCTATGTTAGGGCCTCCAAATAACACACAGTCTTATATTAGTTACAATGCTATTGGCCAATGACTAGGATTTCTTATATGCTAGCTCAGTCTTAATAGTCAACCATAACTACTAATCTATATATTTTTATAAATACTTATCTTACCGAGGACACCAACCTTATGTGTCCTGTCTTCCTGGGGATCACATGGAGATTCCTCTTTACTACATTTCCCAGAATCCTCCTTGACTCCTACCCCTATTGGCCAACAGTGCTTTATTTATCAACCAATAAGACAAACATATACACAGAAGGACTTCCCCCATCACTTGTCTAGTCTATGCAGTGAGAGTCTGTCTTAAATACTACTGTATTCATGACAAATCCTGTGTTCCTTAGCTTGGAATTTATTTTAATTAAGATACAGTTTGGCTACTGTAGAGGATAGAGATGCTGAAGAGTAAATGTGGTCTTTGAGAATAAACTACCTCTTTCCTATGTAAAGGAATATTAGCTATTCAGGTGCCCGCGTTGCACACAGCTGTCAGGGACCCATACTCCCGCCCTTCTGCCACTCTCACCATGCGGCTCCTGTCTATATACACCACTTTTACATGGCCACACACATTCATGTAATAATTTCATCACTTTTGGTGCCAATTCGTGATGGTTCTGTGAAGTAAGTGGATAGAATTTGTCCTCCTCAATATTATGTGTATGGCCTCTTATTTATCTGTGGACATAGAACTTACTTTGTACTTTTCATTTGTGTTTGCAGCAGTGGTTCCCAATACTAACAAGTGCATTCTTTTGGAAATAATTGATGCTGTTACTTGATCCAGGTCTGGCTGTTCCCCACTGCTCCTCAGTGATTTGGGGCAGGAAAAGATTTGGAAAGACAGAAACCAAAGAAGATGGGAGACTGCCACCAGCAAAGACCATTTAGAGAAGAATTTGGGTGCAAAGAGCTTTTCTAGAGAGGTAAGGGAGAAGCAAGGGGTGATAAGTCTTCATGCTGAATGGGGTCTCCATCACCCAGAGCCTTGTTTTGTTTTTCTCTACTGGATTAGTTTTGAGGTACCAATCAGCTTTTGTTCCTAGGCCAGTCCATGTAGTTTTCTTTAGGTAAAAACACGTGATTTCTGAGCCAGTTAAAGATGATTTCTTTTCAGTTAGAGAATAAGATAGCAAATCATTCATCTATTGTTTGATCCCATCCAAAGACAGATCCTTGAGTTCTGTAAATCTAGAGAAAAGTAAGTTGTAAGATGCTGGCCTTGGGACCTGAGTGGATTAAGGTGCCTGTTACCAAGCACCTGAGAACCTGAGTTTAGTTCCAGGACCCACATGGTAAAAGGAGAGAACCAGTTCCCACACGTTGCCTTCTGACTTCCACGTCCATGAGCAAGCACAGTAATTTTTTTTTAAGGACCTTAGTTGTAAAAAGAAAAATGTCAAATACCATTTGGAGTTCTCAAAAAAAGATGTATGTCTGCAGATACTTATGTATGTCTGCAGTGCCTTTGCCCAGGAATAGCTAACCTTGCAGTTAATCACTAAACTACTAGCAGCAAGCCAGGGGTGTTTGCTCATGCTGTGATCCTGGGCTGAGGCATGAGGATCATGAGGTCCAGACCAACCTAGGACATAGAAGACTTAGAACATTAATACAAAGCCAGAAAGCAAAACATAACCATTTGAGCCTATTAGGTAGCTTAGCTAGTGGGAGACTGATCAAACAGAATCTTGCTGTGTAGCCTAGGTTGGCAGCTTCCTGAGTCCTGGCACTGTCAATGTGTATTGCCACCAGTGATTATTTGCTTGTTTTGTTCTTAAGAGTGGGTCTTACTGTAGTCTAGGCTAGGTTGGGACTTGAGAGTGTGTCTGCCTGAAACATGCTAGGATTAGGGCCTAAACCAATAAATCTGACCAGAATTAGTGGGGCTTTTGCTTTGTTTAAAAGTCAACTAAAACAAGTGAAGCTAGAGAGCTTATATACCCTTGGGTTATAGTGCCAGTCTCAGCCTCTTAGAAGTATAGACAGGGTTCATTCAATTACTATAAGCCAATGGGGATTCCTTGAGAGGAAATACCTCTTACTAAGATAATGATGATTATCAGCTCATTTAAAGTATATCTCAAATAAAAGTATATCTCCATTGGTGGAGAGGTATGATGAAGACTTTTTAAGGCTTTACAGTTAGTTGTCCAAACTAAGACCTAGGATAGCTATTGTTTGTAACTTGGTTGCACAGTATCTTACAGTGGCCTTAGTGGAGTTTGTAGTTGACAATGGTATTGCAGT